TGTTTAGCCAACAACTACCTGATGATTTAGTTATTTTACTAGTGCAGTTGACAGTACCTAAATTTTTAATATTATTATCTAAACTATGTTCGCATTTTAGGCTGCTAATATGATAAACTAATCCATAAACCCAAATACGATTAGCAACAACGACTATGATGGGTTTATTGATAAATGTTAAAGGCGATTCAGATGATTTCTAAATTTAGAAGACATGGAGATATAGTGTAACGTATGTACGGGCCAGGTTAACAAGCAGGTTGTTGACGTATATGACAATTAAAAAATAATGAACACGACCAGGCTGCTTATGAAACTTCAGGCAGGAATATGACGCGTTATAAGCCTTCCATAAGAAGTTACTGCATTTAGCTTAGTGACACTTACAAATATATGGCAAAAGCAACTGAAAAACATATACATGTTAAGTACAACAAAAAAATCATCCAGTAAAATAGTTGAACTCGCCTTGATTATTTTTGAAAATTAGATTATTCAGTGGACGACATATATAACGCCATTCGTGAGGAGTAGTAATGATCCAAAAGCATCCAGAATAAAACATACAGTATGGCAATCACTTCCAGGGTGCTTGATGCTGTTGAGGTCTTTGGGACTCGCTCTGATCAGAACAACTGAATGAATCCAGATAATTGTGTGTGCCATCTAAAATGAACTTATGATTGCAGAAAACTTATAGGTGGAACTCACCGTATGTTTTTGGAGTAGTCATCCTCGTTGCTTGGCAATGGAACTCGAGAATATGAAATTAGGCAGGCAGTGGTCAGAAGAAAAGATATTACAGGATAGTGCATCGTTTAAAACAGGATGTGTTAAGTGAAGGAACACTGAGAATTAGATCCAGATAACTATTTAGTCCTTGATCGCATTGTTAGTCAATGTATATTTACAGGTCATATTTGCTAGAGCTTGATGTTTAAACAAGACTATGTCGCTGAAGCATGTAAATGCTATTACAGCTTGTTAACAAATCATCAAAGCTAATTAGTTAATATAGACGACCAGTTTTTATTATCGATTGAGCTAGTTTGTCATGAGGACTAATCAATATAACATTACGATAATGCATGTGAGCATTAATCAGAGGACTATTGGAATACAGGGTTAACATAAATATAAAATCGATCGAGAAAGTTGAAGTGGAAATAAGGATTAATAATAGGTTGCGTTTTTCTAGTCGGGCTTACCAATGTAGAATTATGATCTACTACGATATTAGTACTGCTCTAATAATAGACCTAATCCTAAATTTGTAGATTCGTCATGATATAACTGCCTAATCTATAAGATCTTACGTGGAAGTCACACCATCGACTACGCCAACTCACTGTATCGTATCAATTACCAATACATGATGAAGAACAAGGTTAGTTTAGAGAAGGAACAATATATTTAATATGAATAGAGACCACGCCTGCATGGCCGAGCCATGCCACTCGATCAACTCCAGTCCATTCAATTCATTGTTCGCGCCTTCTCCATTGTTAGGTATTTCTCCGCGTTAAATATTGAATATCTATTTTCTGAGTAGTCTCGTGTACACAGCTTTGTGGATTGTGTGGCTATTGTCCAATGCCACTACAGATTGTGCGGTTCTTTGGCTTTTCATGGTAGTAGTGAGCGTCTCTTAGCGACCGAAAGTCGATAGGTCCAGTGAGTTACCTGTCTACTCCAAGTGAAAAAAATTAGGGAGGAAAAAGTGTCCAATACAACTACAAAGCAGGAAAATAAGGCAGTTTGGTCTATACAGGTAGAGAGTCTATAATATCTGAGTGGGACGCAGATGTGTTCGTTTGTGCTAGATCTGTGCAAGTGAGGGCTTGATCAATAAATCTTACAAACGAATGTAATTCACCTGCCATGTGTATTTCAGAGGGAAGACTGTTTCATATCAATACATACTTGATGAGGAAGAAGTTTTCCCAAGATCTTAATCTGTATTTCTCAACTTTGACAGTAAATACTTTGTCTCGAAGGTCGTATTTATGTGTCTTGGGCAAAAGCGGAATAGGTTAGGTTTTTAAGGAGTTTGAAATAGAGAATCAAATTGGACCTAAGCCCTCTTTTCCAAAGGGATTCTCGTCAAACTAAAGTCCTTTGGAATAAACAATCCACTATACTCATGGTTTGCTTCGTTCTTAACACAACGTAAACAGATGGTAAAGTACAATGACCGTCTCTCAACACCTAGACCAATAAGTAGTGGAGTCATCCAGGGAAACATATTAGGTCCACTCTACTTTCTTATGTATATGAACGATATATGTAACAACATAAAATTTGAGAAACCATAATTATATACTGATGATCTCAAAATAGTATACAGCTATAAGCCTGAGACTCTAAGTGAAGGTGTATGCCTAATTCAAAATGACCTTAGTAACTTAACTATCTGGAGTGAAAAATGGCAACTACCATTTAACCTCAACAAGTGCGTAATCATACACTTTATAAAGCATCCCTATGAACTGCAACTTAAGTAACAGTAGAGTCCAGACACTCAAATCAGTACACAATCTAAGAATTAATTATACAGGAAGCCTGAACTTTGGAGAACATGCCTCCTCAATTATTTCTAAATCTCGACGGCTAATTGGTTTCATAACGAAAAATTTCTTCACAACAAAGGCTAAGCCTACTCTCTACAAATTATGTGTACCAACTTCCCTTAAATACTGCTCTTTTATGTTCTCTAATATGAATACCACATACAATACACGAGTAGGTGTACTTACGGTAAAACAAGAAAATAAGCATTAAAACGACAAGTTATAACGCTTTCTTTGAAACCAGTTGCTCTATATATTAGATATATCATTTTGTTACCACCTTCAATGTATGCTATATTGATTCTCTGAAAAGTCCCTTACTGACTAACAAGTCAGTCAGGGCATGTCAGTACATGCAACATGTTACTCCAGCTTAATATACTATACGTTCGGCAGCCACATTATCGCAAGTTCAGAATACTGGATTATTTGTATTATTCCAGTAGCATAGATGTGTGCACTAATGCTAGTCTAGAACAAATTCCTAAGTATTCTAAATGTTTTATGATGTATTTGTTTGACAGTTAAAATATATCATGTAAACTGCTTAAAGTAAAACACCAAAAACAAATGCGTTGTAAATTTTTTTACAGTGCGGTATAGTTTATTGTGGAACAGGTTGTCAATACCTATCCGTAACTGTGAAAGTTTACCAAATTCAAAAGGTTAATAACCCTGTTACTAGACTCTAATAAGCCTCAACTATTCCCTGAACTCCCGCCCATCAATGAGGCACTTTATTGTGGACCGTCTAATATCTAGACGAACAAGAAGATAACGAGCCATATTGTTATTAATATGAATACAACTAAAATACAGAATATATGGTTTATCCTCTTTTATTATTCATTGATTATTAATCACGCTCCTAACCCTCACTTTCAGATTCCGAATCTTCCCAACGGTTAAAGATACATTATTCTTCCTAAGTGTCATGTACTTTTTCTCTGTTGCAAGTAGACAGATAACTCACTAATCTTATGGATGCTGATCAACTATGACCGATCATAAGAAGTTCATACTGTCCTAAATTCTTGTGAGTTACTCAATGTGCTATTTTTCTTACCCTGAAAATTTTACCATCTTATGCTCTTTCATATCCTTTGACTTGCTATTAGTCCTTACCATTTTTAAACCACATATAATGTAACCTGTGTTTTTTTAACTTTTGCTGTTAGTTATCTTCATAGCAGTGTGATATACGAAATGCATGCTTAACCCATAATACAATTGCTTTAACTATCTGATTTGCCTGTATCATGAAACTAGTAGAGACAGTGTATTCCAATAAGGTGCTTAGATTAAAGCAATATGCATACACACCACAAACGTAAGAGGGCCTAACATCACAAAAGGAGGGAGGGTGGTGTTACTGACCAGCGAACATGATGGTGAGGAGATAAATCTGATCCACCCATGTCTGTGGGGCAGAACATTTTGTTTAATTACGGCTCCTTATGGTCTAGTGGAATGTCATGAACAAATGGTCTTGATGCTGATTTATTATGCGAAATACCTCAATAAACCGTGTTTACAACGCTGAAATGGTTTCACTTCGTACCGAGTATTACTGTTACTAGCCAAACTAGACAATTTGCTAAAAACGAAACCTACCCGATACCCTATACAGTCTACAAAAAATGGGCTCATATAGCTTTGACATAAGATAGAGACAGCCATTTGTGTATCAGAATACTGTTTGCAGTACTATATTTTCAAACTTCACATAACCCTGTACTTTCAGCTTCTTCCTGAACCACCTCCATGCGTCCGTTGTTCATCCACTTATGCCTTGTGTACACAGTGAATAGACAGCTTGTTGACTTCGTGTTTGGGTTAAGTTCTTCGTCTAAAAGAAGTTCCTGAGTGAAAGCTGCCCCAAAAAGTTTTCCATGGCTTTCGTTTTTTCCTGATCATCCTCTCAGCGAGGTCCATCTTGACACGCTGTATAATTATAGTTCCTGAAATCGTCTCTTTCCTTTAATCCGACTCCGATTTAGAGTTAAACGCAGACGTCACATTCTATTTTCTTACTTTTGTTTTCCTAGTTGTGACTGTGAATCACTCATTTACCTTATTTTTCTCTTGACCATATCCTCTACACCGCTTAGACTTCGCTCCCCCATAGTTTGATTTACGTTGACTTATGGATCCATAACTGGAATCGTAGATTCACATACCTTAGTACTTTCTATAAGAAATTTCTTTTACTCAGCGCACTGTCTCTTTTTTTGTGATAATGTCTAAATCCACATACTCGTTACCAGTGCAATCGCTAGCCAGGTTAGATCAGACGATCCTCGATACATTGATAGTCCATCAAATATATCTTCGAACCTCCTCGCTTCTGTCTTTTGATTTCACTTGGTGGGTACGATTCATATTAGAAGGTATTACTGGTCAAAGCGTTGTCAAACTCCGAATACTTGTGGCATATTCAACCTTTATGGTCTCATTCGAAACCAGAGCTGGGTTCATGAGAACGCTCTGATATGACGTTGCCCCAAAGTAAAATACCCAACAAGGCTTCAAACTTTTATTGTGTGTAAATAAAGTCGTCAGGCTTCATTAAAACACATATTTCAGGTTGTTAAGCACGTTATTTACATAATTGCCATTTGAAGAGCATTTGTTGATAATTCAAAGATTCTGCGTGGCGCAAATAACCCTGGCACCTCTGTAAACAGAAGAGTTTGATTGATCGTTGGACGTTTTCGCGTAATTATAACTACTTTAAGTTTAGAAATAAGTGGTAAGTATTCATAAACATAGCAGTAGCACAACGAAATTCTGCGTTTGTATCATGAAATAAAGGAGACTCAAGGGTGATTTCATAATCAGACGGAAATCACCTTTTCACACATAAAACAGGAAAAGTGATCTTAAAGAGAGGTCCTTTAGATTAGGTCTTTTCTGAGGATGGACTATTTCCTCCCAAAAATTCACATTTCCCAATAGGTACTTAATTTCCTGCATTTAAAGTCGATCATGAGCCTCCTGATGGAAATATGTTATATCGTAATATATAATGAAGAAGAGCGAAGATATGATGTAAAGCTTCGGTAATATATTCATAGATCATATGCTTTCCCAGAATCACTTGTTTTATGGTCATCGTCACAGTGTTTTTAATCAACATATAAAGACACCAGTTGGTGATTATGACGAGTTTCCTTATGTTTAATTTGAACGCAAAAGGTTATGTAGATATCACATAAACCTCTATTCTTGAATTTCTCTTGTATGTTGAATAGTAAATACTACGCCTATACCTTACTGTTCTCCGATATAGTCCGGTCAGTTTCTTTTGAGTCCCGTCAAATATAACCAAAGACCTTTGCTACTCCGTCAGCAACTACTAAAAGCTACATGGTCTTATCATAAAACTCGAGATCTCTTGAAGCACTTATGTAATTGGTATATCTGCACTTAGTAATCAGGCATCAGTTTTATTAGTCCATTGAAATTCAGTAAAAAGTCGTATGTAATGTCGTGCGCCTATTGATATATATGTATCAACAAATTTTGCCTTCATTCAGCCTTTTTCTGTTAGCGACAGGAAACGGGAACATATGTGCTAATCCTGGTTATCGGAACCTCAGCTGGTTGAAGCTTTTGTTGAATACGTATGTTAAATTTGTGGTGTGTTGAGACAAACGACTTTACTGGTTGATTCTATGGTAAAGTTGATTATGGGTTTTCGGACGTATTTGAATCAGCAAGGGACTTTACTGTCACCTTTTCGTAGCAGTCTTTATATATTGGTATCGTGGATGCATAGGACCAAAAACAGCCGATTGGAAAGGTCATTTAGGTGTAAGAGAAATCAAAAGCTCTAAGACTTTTCTGAACTAACAACAGAATACTACGCCCACGCTACTTCAGCAGAGTGAAATCCCACAGTAGTATATGTGGCAATAATATCAGTGATAGTAGGAAAAATCAGACGGGTTCTATGCTTCGAGAAGGTATGGATAGCTACCGTAAAAAATAAGACGGTTTCGGAAATCGGGATCTAAAGGAAGATAGTGTGAGTTAACCTACGCCATTGGGACCTGTTCTGAGCTATGTTAACCAACTCCAATAATTGGTTACGATAAGCTTAAAAACCTCAACCAGATAGTATGCATATTCTGATTCGGTTTAGTCTAACTGTAAATGGTTCCATGACTGCCCATAGCTTTCTTCTAACTTGCTTTTATACCAGCTGTTATCACTTGTCGGCGTAGATGGTGTTTAAAAATGCGTAACATGTCCCAGCCACTTAAGCGGATAGAGATTCATTATCTCCTCAACCTGTTTATCATATGTGCTTAGTGCCTTTTTTAATCATATCATTTCTCTCTCGGTTATCCCAACATTCGCGAGCAACGCTTGGGAGGTTCCGTTCCTCTTCCCCTTTTATAAATACAAACTATCTGCAGTATGAAAATCTCCCGTTTTAATAATTGCATGGAGAACCATACATATTTTTACATAATTTTTAACTCTACTAAAATCCACTACGTTGAAGCTTATCATATATTCAACTTAGTACTGAAAATAAGTCAACAAAAAGTATATTAATGTCAATCGACTCATGATCTCAGCTATTTAAATTACCATAATATCCACAAAACCCCTGATAACAATCAACATATACTCACTAGTGATTGACTCCAAGAGGTATTTCCTGGAGTTCTAGTGAGAAGCCGTGACCAGTGGAGTTCAACCAGGTCTGTTGTGAGATAGTAGTTCACTGATGGCAATGGTGGATGTGTCACTAAATTTCGTGGATTAGTTAAGGTTAGACACTGACACCGTTGTATGCCGGCTCAGTGGTTTAGAGGCTAGGCTTTCGCGCGCGAGACCGACAGGTTCTGGGTTCGAATCTCGCGAGGTCGTGGATGCGCACTGCTGAGGAGTCCCGCAATATGACGGAACGGCATCCAGTGCTTCCAGGTTTTTTATGGTGGTCTAGCTCCAATTGACTCATGATCTCAACTGTTAAAAGGTGTATTTCTTCATTTGTAAGATCTCAGCAAATTAATTACTCTGTTGCTAATGGATAACTAACAGGATTAGTTAGATACTTTAAGGAATATCAATAGATTTCCCTTATAATATATGGAGTCAAAATGGGATTGGTAGTTGGATTTTTCTGTGATAGTCTATCATGACAAAGCTAAATAAACTAGTGGAAAGTCAAAAAAGTTTATCAATGTTGTTATCTGGTCATCTTACGCTGTAAAACGGACATTATGGACGTGTGTCATTTACAATTTTATTGGTCGTACTCGTCAAAAGCATTTAGACTAACTTATTTCTTATCATGCTTACTTCCATTTTATGTCTAAGTTTTAGTTCGTCACGTTTCTTATACGCTGTGGACTAACAACTTATCTTTGCACTTTCCAGGAAGGTACCTAGATGGATCTATAAAAACAGGAATAATGGTAATGAAATTTATCACACACTTTCTTGCTCAAATCGGTAAGACAAATAATTTTCTCTAATTATACGTTTAGGACCGCAGTCTGAGTATACTTGGACTCGTTTAATTTACAGTGCACTTAAGGCTCCTACATATCATTTGTATTTTGAATTGCTACTAATTATTGGTATCATATGGTTGTTGTTTAAACGCAGTTATCGTATTAATGATGTAATCAATCTAAGTGTGGAGGAGAAAAATCAACTGATCAATGAATGGAAACCCGATAGTTTGGTTCCGAAAGATTGGGAACCATCAAAATATCTATTAAAACAATTCCACAGATGTGCGAATGGTCCTCTTGGCAAGTAAGTAATATTTTTTAGCTTATCACCTACTTCTGTAACATTGTTATTTGATTGTCAGACAAAAAATAAGGACCTATGCACATCCAAATAAAATAGTCTTAATGATTAGTATTTACGAAGAGAAGACATCTATGTGTTCCAAAGTTGTTTCGAGGGTAAAATAAAATACCTAAACTTTTCTTGGGTACAGCTGTTCCACTAATCTGTGGAACAAACTACTAATCGTTACTACATATGAGAAATTCCACTTAAAACCATCCATGAATACAATGAATTATGTTTGGAGTCGTATTAGTATAAAACAACCAAAACATAATGTATCCTTTATATGCACAGACGTCAGGATTAACATGGTAGATTAGTAATGTCTCTAGGTGCCATATTTTGAAAGGCGTAGAAATCTATCCCTATTCATGCTCTTCACTTTAAAACTTTATCTTCATATCTTTAATATGTATACGAATACCTTAGCTCTTCTCATCCCATGTATCGTTTCTGTTTTGAGATAGAGTAAAATAGTGTGACGTAATATTCTCATTTTCGCAGCCTTTTTTCACAGTCGTTCCTAAGGCTTCAGTTAATAATAAAACATTTGGTTCTGTGAAAAGTTCTTATTTATTCGAAATAGATTTTAATCACAGCGATTTCGATTTTCCCAGACAATTTAATGGTAATTTATTATTTATTTATCTACTATATATTTGAACACATAAATATTGATACAAGAGTGCGCCAAATAAATTTGCGCCACACAAAACAATGAGAACTCGAAGAGAAAAAAAGGTAAGGAGCGTAAAAAAAGAGAACAATAACGAAGAGATTGGTGTAAGGTAGTGTAGTACTAATGAGGGAACGGAAAGGTACAATAAGAAATCTTTCAGTTTAGGGAGACACAACCACCTTTTACGGAGGAAGTAAAAGAAGGTTACAGCAGGATCGCCACTGGCTTCTATTCTGAGCCATATCTGATAACGTCTCTAGCCACTGTGTTGCACCATCTCTCGGACCCCAACCAGGGAGTCGTGAAGGACCAACACAAGCCAGTCCTTTGCAGCTTTCTTTCATGCCACGACACCATTCCACGCACTGACCACTTCTCTGCTTCTCCCAACCAGTCCCAGAGTCGGCAAATAATGCACGACGTGGAGTTCTCTGGGACGACATTCGTTGAACATGTCCAAGCCACCGAAGTCGGTGTTTCAAGATGGTGACACCAATTGCATTGTCATCTCTGTGCCCGAACACACGATGTCGGACCTCTGCATTACTAACATAGTGTTGCCACTGGATGTCAGCAATCCTTCGGAGACAACGATGGTCGAACACATAGAGTCGTCCAACATCCTCAACTCGGAGAGGTCAGGTTTCACAAGCATAGAGCAAAACTGCTCTCACCGACGCGTTGTAGATCCGACCTTTTACAGCCAGACTGACATCACGAAGGTGCCAAAGATGGCCCAGATTGGCATAAGCCGCTCTGGCTTTCACTATACATGCATTGATCTCATCACTCACACTACCACCAGCACTTATACAGCTACCTAGATACACGAACTTCTCGACTACTTCTATCTGCTCACCATCTAGGATGAGTACAGGATTGGAATCCTGCCAGTCTTGTAGGAGTACTTTGCACTTCGAAGGTGCAAAGCACATACCATACCTACGGACACTGATTGCCAACTGATTAAGTGTGGATTGCATGGCTTGGGCATTATCGCACAGTAAGAAAATATCATCCGCATACTCAAGGTCGAGAAGTCTTTCTCCGGGCAACAGATCTACGCCACCATTACTTACATCCATCAGAGCTGTTCCCAGAATGTCGTCGATGGCAAAGTTGAAGAGGAATGGTGAGATTGGGCAACCCTGTCTAATCCCACTGCTCGAATGGAACAATGGAGAGAGGTGGTTGTATGCCCTCACTCTGCCTGAGGTGTTTGTATATAGGTCTTTTAGGATGTTAATAAATTTCTCAGACACAACCTTCTTCAGTAGACAATCCCAGAGAACAGTCCTATCCAACAAATAGAAGGCAGCCCTGATGTCAAGAAACACTACGATTGTTGGCCTTTGATAAGTATGACGGTGTTCTAACATTTGGCGGAGGGTGAATATATGATCAATACATCCTCGACCAGAACGAAACCCAGCCTGCTCCTCTTGAGTCAATCTTTCTCGAGTTTTGAACAACCTACGAAGTATGACGGAAGGCAATAGCTTGGACGCAATCGGAAGTAGACTTATCCCTCGATAGTTGTTACAGGAACGACGTGAACCCTTTTTAGAGATAGGGACAACTATCGACTCATTCCATGACGTTGGTACACTCTCTAGTTTCCAAACCTTTGTAAACAACGTCGTCAATTCCTTAGTCAGAAAGTCACCACCATCTTTAAAAAGAGCCGAAGGTAAGTCATCTAGGCCAGGTGATTTGTAACGCTTCAAGAATCGGAGTTCCTTGCAGACTTCCGCCTCATTTGGTGGATCAGTCGTCACCGGCCATGGAGGGCAGGACAGTCTGACCGATGTTGCCGAAGCAGCAGGTCAGTTGAACTGCCCTTCGAAGAATTCTGCCCATCGTCCAAGACGTCGATGGATGTTAGTGATTGGCATCCCGTCATCCTCGCGGATTGTTTCACTCACACCAGACTTCTTGCTGCCAGTGGCTCGGATGAGTTGGAAGAGCTTCCGGCAGCTACCAGATGCAGCTGCTGCTTCCAGCTCATTAGCACGCCATTTTCATGGCGTCATGCAATTGCGACCAATCCTCATCTATACTTTTTGGTGGAATGGTAGCTAGCCTAGAAACAAGCCCGGTTCGATACTTACTTGCAACAGAAGTTGCAACCAGCTTGCTAACATCAATCTGTTGTTGGCGGTCACTTCGTTGTCCACTGAAAAGTAAGATAAGATTGGCGCAGACCAAGGCATGGTCAAAGTCCAGATAGGTGCATTGAAAGGAGCGGCAATCTTGTACACAATCACGCCAGCGGTAGCTAATCGCGATGTGATCAATCTGAGTCCAGGCTTGAGATGTAGAGGGAGGACGCCAGGTGGCACATCGGCGATGACTGTGCCGAAAGTTAGTGCTAGCCAGAAACAGGTTGTGTGTTGTGCACAGTTGCAGTAGACGGTCTCGTTATCTATCCTGCGACCAACGAGTCCCCATCGGCCACCTAAACGACTCTCTTCTGTGCCTAGACGCCCGACCTGTGCATTCAAGTCTCCGGCTAATACTACAATATCTGTCGAACGCACTTTCTGTAGAAGAAGTTACCTGGCGGAAGAGTTCATCCTTGATTGCATCCAGGCTGCAATCTGTCGGGGCATAGGCGGAGATGACGATAAGACATCGTTTCTCACGCCGATTTCTTCTCACTTTGATGGAACATTCTAATCTAACAGCACATAACCGACTGTTAATGGGGATCCAATCGATTAGTGCTGCCTCAGCTCGAGCGCTTAGTGCGACACCAAGGCGAGCAAGACCAGACAAAGATGCCACAGAGTCCCCGGATAAGCGCACGTAAAACAAGCTTTTTGAAGCGACAGATAGAGAGCGAATTTGTAGTACTTCACCAGAGTCTTGAATACGGGTCTCGGATAGACAACAAACATTTATATTAAGGCTTTCCAAAGACATAGTCAGCCCTATCTGTTGTCCAACCTGCATAAGTGTGCGAACGTTGAAGGCAGCCAGTTTGAATGGTGCATGTGGTTTCAGAAAAACTGCTTCAGTACTCATTCGGTGGGAACATACAATTTTCAACCGGACAGTGACTCGAGAACGTTTAGATAGAGTCGAATTTCCACCAAAGACGTGCCGCTGTATAAGTATAAAAGAGGGTGAATAATATGGTAAATAATAATAATAATAATAATAATAATAATAATAATAATAATAATAATAATAATAATAATAATTTGATTGTTGGTTGAAGCGAGTAAAGTAGTTTCCATAATTATAGGCAGTTCATCATATTTGTGTGTGGGCTGTTATACTGCCCGGGTGCCCAGACCGAAGCAGGTGGTTATATTAGGGGGCCACACCCCGAGCCTTTGACCTAAAGGTCTAACCCACAAGGCAGTGGAGCATCGTAAGGAGATGCAGTCCCACGGTAGCCGGTGACCAACGATTGGTTCATACGCCATTTGTTCCCGCAGGATACTGGAGCCCATGTGCACCATTGGTTTGTGATCCGGTTAAAGCGCCGGACATTCGCTTTTCGTGCTCTCATTTTCGTAAACAACACCTCCGCCACGAGAAGGCGATGAGTAGGACTTCCCTGGCAGAAGCTGTATACGCGTGGCTGTGTGAGAGTATTTCGAGGAGGGCGAACTAATCCCGCTCTTGGCCATACCAGGGCATTTGGGGGCTAAAGACGTCATTCATTCAAAATACATCTACATTCGGGTATCGTTCTGATCAATACCTAATCAACTACAAAAAAATAAATTCAGTATGTTGTTTTGCTTTTTATATATTTTCGCATTCTTGCAGATGTCAATGATGTCTAAATTATAAAATACACAAATATTGTCCTTAATTTCGTTTTAAACTTCCTATCAACTTGTCTGAAGTTCCTAGTGAGCGGGATTAATACCTGAAAGGGTAAATGAAGCCACGTTTTCCTGTTAGCTTTTTGCACCATCTACAGGTTGGTTATCTAGTGCCACTATGTTCCACTCAAAAGGTGTTGTGTTTATCTTCGATGCTACTCAAAAACCAGTTAGTGATGAGCATTTACAGTTATGAAATGTAATATCTTCCGTCGAAATTCAAATTAATTCTACGTAATTGTTAGAACCATGTGAGTGTACCCAATCTCTATTGTGAGTTTTTGTATATGATTGAGTAGATTAACATTTAGCTTTGACTGCTATTGTTTGTCTTACTACCGCTCAAATAATCGTCAGGAAATATTTGTATTTTCGAAGACAAACTTTCTGAATACTTTCCTCTTACTAATCTTGAATTTTATTTCATGCGATAAAGAGATTTATTGATTTCTCTGTGTCCGATTTAGCATTTTGTAACATGTCATCAATATCAATGATTCTACAAATTCATTTTCCTCTGTTGTTTTTTCCAGATATGTCAATTTCAATTTAGAAGTGGAAGAGTTTGGAGCTACTGAAAACAATGTTAGTAAGAATCATCTTAATTTCTCAACATTAAATTTCCTAAACTTTGTTGGGGATTCGGATTTGTCTAATGTCGCTACTGAGCAGCTGAAAAAATATGGTGTTGGATCATGTGGACCAAGAGGATTCTATGGCACTTTTGATGTTCATCTTGAATTGGAAAATAAGTTGGCTGAATTCCTCGGTGTTGAAAAAGCAGTAATTTATTCTTATGGAGCAGCTACATTTTCTAGTGCTATCCCATCCTATTCCAAACGAACTGATGTAATATTTGCGGATGAAGGTATCAACCATGCTACGTATCTAGGCTTAGTGGCATCTAGAAGTCATGTTCGATTTTTCCGTCATAATGATATGGAACATTTGGAACAATTACTGATAGCACAGGCAAAAAGAGATAAAGAAGATCCTAAGCGTGCATTACTAACTCGCCGATTTTTTGTTGTTGAAGGTATTTATTTCAATTCTGGAGAAATTTGTCCCTTATCTGAGCTTATTGCTTTAAAATATAAATACAAAGTTCGCATTTTGTTAGATGAGACCATTTCTTTTGGAGTATTAGGTAAGACTGGTAGGGGTGTAACGGAATATTTTGGTGTTAATATAGAAGACATTGACTTAATCTCAGGTAAGCTTGTGTTTTTAATTCTCATTTCTTCGGTTGTACCGCTTTTTTCATTGATTGTTTTATCTGCGATTACATACTTATTTAGTTAATGCACAATAATAATGTTCTGATTGGCTGGAGATTGTTGATTTAGTAAAGCAAAGGTCAAGGTTTTTACCTCCTACACTAAATTACTTAACTACTCGATTATATTGCATGCATTGATTGATAAACATCAGCCGTGAACCATGACTGTTGTGGCGTGATTACCTGACAGTTTATCATGGTGATTTAGCAACCGTAAAATAGTTTGATCCAGATAATTTTCACTACTAGATTTTTGAAGTGTATGAGAATAGTGATTACAGGTGGATGGAAAGTCTAATCATGATTCAGTTTGATATGTGTTATGAATAATTGAGTTAGAACTCTATCACCTCAACAAAATTCATTCTCGTAACTCTACTAAATGCTGTGCCAAATTTATTTCAGATAGTCTTTATGTATTAGGTTTTCTTAAAAATTTGATTTTCATTCATGCAAATTTGTCATATTTGGATTAATCTAAATATATTGTTTCGATATTTTATTATTATCATCACTGAAGTGGTGACTTGGTTTTCAACCAGTTATTTGCATGTTCTAACGCGCTTCTGTTCGTTTCTCAAAACCGTTCGAAATTTAACATTTTAAACTAAATAAATAAAGTACTTAAAGATTAACCAACTTATCCGTGTGTATAATGGGGATTAGTAAATAGAAGTATCAGCTTACAAGATTAAAAGTCGTTAGAACTAATTAATCAGGTTGTATTAGTCAACTGTATAAGTGAACTTGAAACTGATACTATGAAGCAGTCGAACCAATTTATAACGATTCATCAAGTGTATTATTACAAATATTTGGTGACTAGTACAGAATTTACGAAGGTTGAATTTTTCAAGGACTTGGATTATATTAGTAATAATCAACGAGACTTCTGTGTTATTATTGTTAACCGTTAATATTATGACCGTCAGCTTAGAGTTGAGGATGTATTTAAGTTATCTTGCTACAATTATGCGACTTCTCACTCCATAGTTTCCACACTACACCTAAGGAGTTGTTTTGTTTTCCTAATAGGTTCGTTGGAAACTGCTTTAGGGGTATGTGGAGGATTTTGTGCTGGATCGCAGTATGTTGTTGGTCATCAAGAACTCTCTGGACAAGCATATTGTTTTTCAGCTTCTCTACCACCAATGTTAGCTAAAGCTGCATGTACAGCAATTTCTAAACTGCAATCGCCTAAGGAAAATGGTAAACGTAATCAACGGTTATTGGAATTATCCAGATTAACTGACAATTTGTTTCATTCGAACAGCAAGTTAACCAGTATTTGGAAACTATATGGTCATCCGGATAGTCCGTTAAAACACTTAAGATTCAGAGAAAATAATACTTTAGGTAAACTTGAGGCTGTTGTCCAAACTGCTTTTGATTGGACTGATGAGCGAAATTTGAAAGCACCTCCTTTATTGTTGACAGTATCAAGGTTAGTAATGCTTAGTTGCACGCTAATTCATATCATATTTATTCCTAATGTTATAGCTAATATCCAAAGATTTTTTGTGCAAAGATATTGCGGCAGTTTATAGTAAGAGAACAAGAATAGTACATAGCATGATGTGCAGTCCAGTTGAAAATGCAACCAGAAACCTCTCAGTCAAGAATGCTCCTCAAACTATTTTAAAGAATGATAATACTAAAGCAAAATCCCCACTCAGTCAGTCAGTCAGCTACAACGTAGGACCAGGCACATATGTGCATCGGTCCAGATTGCCATACCGCATCAGCACAACAAGATGAACACCAGATTCATAGCAGTGGTTAGGTCAAAGGTAGTAATATGTAAGAGAAAGATTGCATATAGAGATATAGTACAAGAAGAAAGAATTGGTTCGTAGGAAGAAAGATATGAAGCGATTTTAATTTCTTAGTTTAAGGGAAGACAGGGAGTGTATACACCGACGCCATTGTGATCGATTCTGAGCCATGTCACCAAGAGTCTCCAACCATTGGTTACGATAGTCACGCGGACCCCAACCAAGTAGTCTGCATCTACCAACATGGCTCAGACTAGAAGTTAGTGACTTCAAGCACCGATGCCACATTTTGGTTTGGCCGCCCCTAACTTTCTTCCAACCATTGCCAATACCGGATAGCATTGCACGTCGTGGTAATCGGTGTTCAGGCATACGTAACACGCGGCCCAACCATCTCAGTCGATGAAGATTCACAACCTCATCCACTGGTTTACCATCATTCCCTAATACCCTGTGTCTAACCTCACTATTACGTACCCGGTGATCCCAGCAGACGCCAGCAATATTTCTAAGGCATCTGTGGTCAAATACTAATAGCTTACGAGTGTCTTCTACTCTTAATGGCCATGTTTCGCTGCCGTAAATTAAAACAGAACGGACTGCCGTGCAGTATACTCGTCCTTTTGTTGATAGACGGATATCTCGCCTTCGCCATAGGTGACGCAAGTTGGCAAAAGCCAAGCGAGCTTTCCGAATCCGTGCTGAGATTTCGTCCGATACCAACCCATTAGGGCTGATCAGACTTCCAAAATAAGTGAAGTTGTCAACGCGTTCGACTACTTCACTCCCTATCCTTAGTTCAGGTGTTAACGCAGACCAGTCCTGAAGCAACAACTTGCATTTAGAGGGAGAGAAGCGCATTGCAAACATTCTGGCATTGTTGCGCAGTGCTACCAGAATACTCTGCATTTTGTCAGCGTCTTCACCAAACAGGACTATATCATCTGCGTATTCTAAGTCGATAAGTGGACCTCCTGGAAGGAGATCAATACCCGAGAACTCAGTCGACGGGAATGTTATTTCCATCAGTAGATCTATGATGAAGTTAAACAAAAATGGGGAAAGTGGACAGTCTTGATGGACACCACTTGAGTTTGGAAAATCAGATGACAGTTCGCCATAAGCTCTGACTCGACTAGTAGTGTTCGAGTAGAGAGCCTTCACAAGGTTTATGTACTTCTGGGGTACGCCTTTCAATGACAGACACTGCCACAGAATCTCGCGGTCTACCGAGTCAAATGCTGCTTTTAAGTCGAGAAAGACCACCATTGTCGGACGCCGATAAGTATGTCTGTGTTCTAGAATCTGACGAATGGTGAATATGTGGTCGATGCAGCCACGACCAGGTCTAAAGCCAGCTTGTTCTCTCGTGTTTGCAGTTCACGAGTCTTAGTTAGGCGTCTGATAATTATCGAGGCTAGTATTTTAGATATTATATTAGTTAAACTAATCCCTCTATGTTTGTCACAGGATGATTTTGACCCTTTCTTATATATTGGGACGATAAGTGATTGTGACCAGTAAAATGGAATAACGTCTAACTCCCAGATCTTAGCTAAAATATTAGTCAACCTAATCGCTAAAATTTGGACCACCATCCTTAAAGACCTCTGGAGCCAATCCATCTGGACCAGCTGCCCTTCCTCGTTTCAGATTAACTATAGCCTTTTGAACTTCAGCAAGAGTTGAGGGACCTACTTCAATGTTCCATTCACACTGTCTGGGAATGGAGGGTAGTTGTAGAGTAGCTGAAGGCCAGCTGAACTGTTCTCTGAAATGTTCCGCCCATCGTTCTAAACGCCTGGACTGGGAGCAGATGAGTGTATCGTCTTTTTCCGATATAATCTCACTTACACTTGACTTATTAATTCCAGTTTCTTTTATTAGTCTGTAGAGCTGTCTTGTGTTTCCTATAGCCGCCGCCTTTTCCATCTCTTTTGCTTTCGTTGCCCACCACTGCTCACGGTCGTTTCTTAGACTTTTTCTTAACCTAGATCTGATTTGTTTTCGCTCTTCATCATGTTCAGAACCTGATGGGACGAGTTTGCGAGAACCCATCAGTGTGATAGACTTTGAAGAAATCCACTGGTTCTTTGAAACTCTATGGTTTAAGTCGCTAATAGATGTCACTGCTGCTTCCACAGCTGCTTGTTTTTCATTCCAAGCAACACCTGGGTCAGCCTCGTCTTCAGAACTACTTAATCGTGACCTCAGTTGTTCCTGGAACCTACTTTTGGTTTCCTCGCTACTCAGTTCGGTTCTAATGGGTCTTTTTACTGTGGCTTTTTTGCGTCCAGTGAGGCGCAAGCAGATGCGTGCCCGTATTAGGGCGTGGTCGGAGTCCAAGCAGGTACTCCAGAATGAGCGACAATCTTGTACCGACCCTCTCCAACGATGACTGATGGCAATATGGTCTATTTGAGTCCATCGTTGGTTTGGTGCAGGCGGTCGCCACGTTAGACGATGTCTCTCCTTATGCTTAAAATTTGTTTTTGCTAAAAGTGAGCGATTGTCTGAGCACAGTTGCAGCAGACGGTCACCATTATCTGTTCGCTGTGCCGGAATGCTAAAATATCCACCTAAACGCCTTTCTGTTTGGTTTAAGCTACCTATCTGAGCATTAAAGTCACCCCCTACGAGTACTATGTCTGAGCGTTTAGCTTTCTGAAGAAGTTCGGACAGCTTTCTGTAAAATTCATCTTTCATATCATCTGAGCTGCAGTCAGTGGGAGCGTAGGCAGAAACGACGAAAAGGCAACGACGTGTGTCCCTATCCTTCCGAGATTTTACGGAGCCGTTTAGCCGAACAGCACATAGACGATTGCTGACGAGGATCCAATCTAGCAGTGCTTGTTCGGCCCTCATGCTTAGTGCTATGCCTACACCTGCCAGTCCACGAGAACTGGCCATCGGGTCACCAGGTACACGTAGGGTGTATCTCGTTGGTTCTCCCTTTTTGCCGAGGTGAGGTCAAGTGAATGACCACACTGGAATCCTGTATGCGTGTTTCGGAGACACAGCATACATCAATGGTAAGAGACTCTAGGGTTTTAGCCAAGGAAGCCTGCTGACCGATTTGACATAGAGTGCGTACGTTGAAGGCTCCAATGTGTATTTTGGAGCGAGGTCTCAGTAGAACAGGGACAGAGTTTTGAGCACTAGAATCGTTGGCTATGGTGACACTTGAGGAGGAAGCCGAAGGAGGAAGTTTAGGGTTGAAAGTCGATGTAGGAGGAATAATAGGAATTGAAGAGGAAGGTTGATTATGAATACAGTGGTCTTGAGTGCTGTTAGAGGTATGAGGGCGATTATCACTTCCCGGTTGCCCACACCGTGGAAGGGTTCTTCTGGAGGTACCTGAAAAGGAAATTGGATTAGAGGCGGTCTCAGTGACCTGAGAGCGTGACCGCAATCCCCAAGGGACAACTGCTTGAGGCCGGTCGCGCACGGCCTTTTCGTGGGAGGTTTTTGACGTGTTAGCTCCGTTCTTCAAAGGGCCATACCGCCGGAGACGGAAATCCGTGAGGTAAGGTGAGGTGTGCATTTTTAGGGTCGACCTTTTCTAACCCCACCCCTCCTTGTGGGAAGGTAGCATCGCTGTCATGCTGGTTGTCTGAAGGAAATACCTTACTGCTGTCACACCTCTGAACAGTCAGCAGTACGACTTCGCCTTCGGATCTTGGGTTTGTTGCTTTTAGTCTTACCGCTCTTCAACCGACCTGTCTGACATGGTAGGACCTTGAGGAACGGTTGTTCCAGCCAGTATAGCTCGGTTGCTTCGTCACGATAGGCAAGCCCGACCACCACGTCAAGGTAGCAACAACGGTCGGGAAAATCTCCACTGGTTATTACTTTCGGCCTTCTCAAATAACGTTTCAAACCATTGAGTTGTATGGTTTTTAAGACTCAAACTAGGGAGTTGTGAGAAACAAACAGATGTCAGCACTAAGCAAATTCATCCCGTAGCTTCATGTCACACACTGACTACCTTCTCTCTTTTCACCCCGTCCCAGGTTCGGCAAATAATGTACAGTATAGAATGGCGTTCGTACACATGCCTAAGCCACCGAAGCGAGTGTTTCAAAGTGGTGACACTAATTGCTGTCACCGAGATCAAACACACTTCTCATATCTCAGCATTACTAACACGGTGTTGCCACTAGGAATCAGCAATCCTTAAGCGAGAGCAATGATCGGACATAGAGAGTTGCGAATATTCTCAGCTCGGAGATGCCAGGTTTCGCAAGTATAAAGCAAACTACTCCCACTCGACGTGGTATAGATCCGATCTTCTAAAGCCAAACTAGTATCATTAAGGAGCCAAAGGTGTTTCAAATTGTCGTAGACCAATCTGGCTTTTACTAAACGCAGAGTGACCTTATCAGTTACGTCACCATCAGCACTCACATAAATATCTAGATTCTCAACCCTTTCAACTGCCTCGTTTGTTGCTGTTTCCAAATATCGATGAAAAAGTCGAAGAGGACGAGTGAAATTGGGCAACAGTGCAACAATATCAGTGACTACTGCATTGAAAATTGGTACTGGGAAGAAACAGGTTGTGACCTCCGCAAAGCTCAAAGAGACAGTCACCCCTGTCTGACATGGAAACAACGAGTCCCTGTTGGCTACCAAGCGGTTCTACTCTGTGTATAGACGGTCAACCTGTGCTTCGAATCCCCGGTTAGTACTACAATTTCTGTCGAACGTGCTTCACTGACATCGTTTATTTGATGATGGAACTCATCCTCGATCGCATCTGGGCTGCAATCCGTGGAGACGTAGTCGAGGATCACGAAACGACATCGTCCCACATGCCAATTTCTATCCACTTTGGTGGTGTTTTGTAATCAAACAGGACACACGACTGACAATGGGGACCCGCTCGACTAGTATGACCTTTACCCTGCCGCCTGCTGCGACACCGAAATCAGATATTAGTCCCATAGGGTTAGAAGAGTCTTGGAAGTAAACTATGCATCAGAATTAAGACTTCCTGGAAACGAAATAAAACCTACTTCCGTATGAGAACATTGAGGTATGCCAGATTAAGTCGTTCACTTTGCCTCGCAGACGCTGATTCAAATATGATTGATATTACAATTGAGAAATACGAGCACTCATCAACCTGAAGTTGTTTAGATATGACGGGACATTTAACACAGACGAAGTGTTAAACAATCTGGAAAATAATAGTACACCCAAAGAATAGATACAATGAAGTAGAAAATTGAAAATGTAAATGAAATTCTTGTGCAGTAGAATCAATGTAGGTATTGTTTAACAAGGTAGCAAAGTGGAACGAATGGAGCGGTTTCCCCATGGTTAGGCATCGACATATTTCTTTGTGGGTTGGAATAGTACTCGAACGTCCAAACCGAAGCGTTCAAAAAAGTAAAATTACAACTACCTCCATTTGCATTATAGCAAACTGATGCACTATTATCTTCGGCATCACGCGAGAATGTCAATTAACTTGTTTGAGTTTTAAATTGTTAAGATTCTAAATTAATTTCAAATCAATTACTCAATAATTAGGTCTAGCTTCATGTTACTGCATTACTGACAACCTTGTTAATCTTTTATTAAATCGTCTTTTTTCAGATATACGTATAGTATAAATTTCCCTGCTCCACCTCCAAGTATTCGTATTGCTTTGAATTGTGATTTAACTAATGAAGAATTGCGTCATCTATTCTATGTTCTTTCTTCAATAGTTCCTGCATGAATCGACCAGTAAATGATGAAATTTACATTCAATAATGTTGGCTGTGAAACATTTTAACAAAACATGATATTTGTCCCTGTAATATTATGGACGTCACTAGCTTAATAATATTATATTTTTAGTTTTTTGTAAATGTCTCTTTAGTAATAAACAGGTTAAATATAATTAGCGTTTTTGCGTAATCCCTTGTTTATTTTCCCCTTAGTACTTCGTTGAAGCTTTAAATGTGAAGTAACTGTCTAGTTTTGTCTACCTGATGTCTGGATACTCATCACATAAGCGTTGTATGATTTAAAATTTTTATCACACTGTGAATGGACATGTATATAATAGGCATGTTTTCATATATGATAAACTTTCTTGATTGTTGAATACGAAATAAATATCTACTGAATTTGGCCTGCTATAGAGAACAAATAATCAGTTGATAATTGGTCAGGATGAATAAAAGTGCGACTTTACAAACAGATCATTGGAATAAGTTCTGTAATTTACTGGACCACAAGATTTCCTCCATAACAGAAGTTCGAACATCAGATTGACAGAATTTCAATGAAGTTTAACTAAATCCAGTCCTTATTGCAATGAAGAACACTTAATTAATTCTTAAACTAGAATCCTTCTTGAAAACCGTTTATGCAGTCAGAGAAATCAGCTCAAGAGGAAAACACAGGGCATATATATGGTAGAGACTATAGGTACCCACCAATCCAGGCCTAACCCTTATGCATAAAAGCAGTACGTCCAGCTATTGCTGGACTATTTTCTTAACCCTCCTATCTATCTTTCATAACCAATCACTTGCTGCCTAATCCTTTCCTACAACTGATTTGTCATCGTTACAACTTGATCATTCTGCCCTTAATATGTAAATGATTAAGTATCTTCACCTCAACACTTTTCATTAGCCGATAATTTCACAACTTGCTTCTAATATCTGATTTTTGTATTCAACTCAGGGCACGATACCACTTCACTATCCTATGACTACTCAACACTATTCTATTTTACTACAGACTATTATTTTTAGTAAATACGATTGTACAGCTCAACTCAATGGAACCGTCAAAAATAACATCTTCAATATAGGGTTCTGGAGATTGTTGAGTCTTGATTGAGATTATAAACCTGGAAGCACTGGACGGGTGTTTCGTCCTAATATGAGACTCAGCAGTGCGCATCCACGGACCCGCACGCAGGAGCCGGGCCCAGGATCTTCCGTCTCGCCTAGCCGGCCTCCAACGGTGGTAATGTCCAACTTCAGTCAACCCACGATATTGCGCGACTGTCTTCGGTGAGTCCCAAACTAGGGCGAAATGGCCGTCCAGGTTTTCAATGTTGATGTAACATTGGGCGGTTCATTATCTTAATCACCGAACTGACTTTATTCTTCTTTGTACTATGTTCCAAGTTTTCATAACTGCAATGAAGTCAGTGAACGGGAAACCACTGACAAAGACGTTCCGCATATAATTACATAGAACATTGAACCTGATTTAGAAAAGGTGACGTGCAGAACAAATCAACCTGATATCTAGGATCGTTTCATTAGCTAGTAAACGGTCTACAGTCAGTATTTTACAACCATTTATATGCTGAACAACTTTTAATGTTTATTTTTGTGCTACATAGCAGGTAAATATGAGCGTCATATTTTGCTGGATAGACTTACTAACCATTGAGATTTAGGTGGTTGGAGGTAGTCAACAGGAAACCCTGGACCCGGGTTTCGTGCTACTTGGCACTCGTCAGCAAGGTGTACCTGTAATCTTGAGGGAACTGGTGCTCCCTGGCGGATTCGATCTCGTGTCACCCAGCTTCACAGTCAGAGACGTTACCACTGAGCTATCCGAGCCGTGACTAACCTCCTGTAGGACTGAGATGTAATCACCATTGATTGATCACTGGGTGGTGATCAATGTCATGCTTGTCTAGTCCTTATTAGTGCAGATCGAATGCTATCGATCATGTTGCAATGTGGCCACCAGTCTAGGTGACTCGACACTGCGGGCACTATGGATTGAGATTTAGATGGTGGTTGGAGGTAGTCAACAGGAAACCCTGGACCCGGGTTTCGTGCTACTTGGCACTCGTCAGCAAGGTGCACCACCATCTAATCTCAATGCATAGTGCCCGCAGTGTCGAATCACCTAGACTGGTGGCCACATTGCAACATGATCGATAGCATTCGATCTGCACTAATAAGGACTACACAAGCATGACATTGATCACCACCCAGTGATCAATCAATTGTGAGACTTACTAACCAGCTATTGTGTCTTCTATTTATTTATTTGGAATACTGGTTCAATATTTTTTGTGAGTAACCGTCGGTCATCCAAAAATTCTAACAGAGCTGGTCGTTAAATATGCACGTCCTAGCCTTAAACCTCCGTCGTAAGAAGTGGCGAGTGATACTGGCAGTTTGGACAATGTCAGTTTAATTCGATGAGTTGAAAGTAACTCGATAGTTTAAACATAAGCACTTTATTTTAGCTGATCGATTACAAAAAAATCTCTCAGATCAACAGTACACGTTTCTACAAACAAACCACCCAATGGACTAAATGAGTGGACAATAAAAAACAATATTTGAAAGTTTGCGAAGTGAACTTTGTTCTTATAGATCATACAATGGATCGTGACACTTACACTCTGATTCTTCTCATATCACAAAATAAACATCTGCTGGCTTCCTAAATGTGCAGAAAATTCATACAGTTCAATCTTATTTCAATTCATGGTAAACCCTTTCCAACTCGCAGATGAAGATCGTATAGGTTTAAGATTACTGAAAAGATACTTATGTTCTACCTGACTGCTTGTTTTCAGAATAAGAGCAAACAGAGTGATGCTATATGATAGGTTATTAGTATATTTACATCTGGGATTTTTAATTAGAAATAAAATAATTTAAGCCAGAAGATAGATGAGTCCCCACAAATATGGGAATGAGTATTCAGTGCTTAAGTCAGGTAAGTAGGTCACCTGTGGTGGTTGAGTGTCAAAACTTTACCCACTTATTTGCGTTCAACGGGTTTCACTTATCACCGCGAAGTTGTATCCCTTCAGTTTCGCATCTATTTGATTAATTTTCCCGGTTTCCCACATTGTCCGGACGATCCATTTGCCTGCGTTAATTGTTCTGGTTTTTAAAAGGAGCATCAGTCTTGTGACTGCCGACAAATCCCAGCTTCATTACGTGACATAACTCATAAATAAAGATCCTTTGACAGAGTTTAAATGGTTTTTCCTGGTTAGCATTAGCAAGGTCTTTTCCTATGGGATGGGATTCCTAATCCCATGCCCAACCCTCTTTTGTTCGGGTGGCGGAGTTGGAGTGTTGCAAGCATAAGTGTTATACTTCCTGAAACTACCTGTTAATACGATTATAGAAAAGTTGAAATAAATGTTAACTTTAATTAGTTAGCCTTTAGAAGTACCGAATGTACTGTGTGGAATAAAAACCTGCTTAATCCAAATAAATAGTGCTATAAAAGTTTTTACATAGAATTTTAATCGGATTAATTAGTCATATACATATTACATAGTGATCAAAGTTCTGCTTAATATTAACATTATTTCTATACATAAAAACAGAATTAAAGATAATTAACCAAATCTCTTTCAGAACATGCTTCATGATACATAGTTGAAAAACATATAACTTAAAATGTTAAATTTATAACATTCTGAATATTTATAAAACAAATTAGTAAAAACAATCACTTCGTGACTGAAATCATTAGAGAGAAAGATTACTGAAGTAATGAATCTTTGAAAATTTAGCAAGTTGTTTGAAACGACAGGAATAAACAATAAACACGTAATAAATGAGGCAAAATTAAAGGAGGTTCATTAAAAGACGAATAACAGACAAAAACAATAAAGTTAACTGTTCTCAGCAAAAAGCTCATATATCTAAATATAATTCCATGTAAACGAACCAGAGGTATTGTAATTAACTTCATCCTTCATGTTTTACACCACCACGCTTAATTCGTTTATTTGGAGAAAAAACACCTTTGTAAACAATAAAAAGTAAAATATAAATTGATTAAACTTATAAATGTAATTTGATTTCGTTACATTTTTGCCAGTCACTTACCCTACACACTTTGTAAAATCGAAGAAGTTGATGTGAAGTTCTGTGATATGTGTCCTGGTAACCACGAGTCGACTGAATTAAACTACTGATTTACAAAGGTATATCACACACATATATCCATTAATGCCCACAGTCATCAGATCGTTTGCACCACACACCACATCAACAAAATGGTGGTTACCACATTGGGGTAGTGCATACTTTTTTCCTTAAAAAGTATACTTAAACTTCTTGATGTAAAGATAAATTTTTACAGCTATTTAAGACAATTCCGTGGCATTTAGTGTACAACCATTTCACAAAAGGAAAAAACTATCTGAGATAACAGCATAAAACAACTATATATATATTTATATAAACTGCCAAGACTGAACTTCCAGTTTCGTTCTGATGGTTAATTATTTTCTTGAATCATACTGATACAGGAAACTTGACCAATTGTATATTTACACATATTTACCTACATGTAGTGTATCAATAAGTTCCCAACTGAAGACATAATATATATATATATATATATATATATATATATATATATATATATATATATATATATATATATATATATATATATATATATAGATACGTACCATCAGACGAATTCAAATGAGGAAAGTCAGTGAAACTTTGAATATCTACTGGGCGTTTACCAACAATGCTTTGATCGAGATGTACTGATGACCTTTTTTGAGCAACTGCAGCAAGTGATTGCATATCGTTTGTAAGTCCACTGTGTAACACATCGGCAGAAGGCCCAGAAAGCATTCTATAGGAGATAACATGAATAATCAAAATCTGATATACTGGCAACGAAATTTAAAACATTAGTAGTTTGGATAGATAAATGTTACATAAAAGTGATTGTAATTGTACTTTTTTATGACTAATATTCTCATTGTTACAGTTTTTAAACATTCTATTCCTTATTTGTGTCTATTTTCGAAAAAATTTCATAACATATACACTTCTGTTGACTAATGTTGCAAGTTTTCTGATTTCTAATGATTGTGTTTCAACTTGAATGAGACTATTTAGTGTTACTTCTAATTACAAACAAAGGTCTCTGTTTGAAACTTGGACTGTCCAATTGTATCAACGGTTTGGTTAAATATACGGAAGCTTTTCACACAATGTTTGGCAGTTTGACATTTCAGTAATCAAAATATCAGAAAAATAAGTAAAAATGCTATTTTGTATGGTCACATATGATGATAGAAATAAATAATCAATCAAGTACACAGAGAAATGAGCCTACATAAGTGATTTACCATTTACAAAATGAATTTATCTATGTGTAACAATTTATGGGTTCATTATCAGTCAAACTTGCGATATAATATGCAATCAAATCGGCAAATTAGAAAAAAACAGTGTAAACCCACTTAGAATTTCGCGTTATTCTTCGGTTTTCATGAATGCTAGACGAACCAGTCAAAGTGTCCTCCTCTTCCTCTTTAGGTGCAATAGTTGGAAAACGTTCCTCTTCTTTACAGTGTCTTGGATTCGATTGTAATGTATCTTCATCTTCATCGTACTTACGATACTGATGACGGCTGTATGAAACGTTAATAGTTGGTGACGCTGTAAGATCCTTTGGACTTAGAAATGTACGAGACAGAGGTTGGCTATGGTTTACTAAAGCAATATGATATTCCTCTGGGTTTATATTTTCAGTGTCACTAGATGCACCACTTTCCAAAACCCATGATGAACCAGAAAAATTACTCGAGAGATCAGTTGATAAGGAACGCCAAGTATCTTCAAAACTAAAACATAATAAAGCTCGGTTTTAAGTGTTACATTGCAATTTAGATCATGCGATCAAAGAGACTAATAGCAAAAACAATGGATAAATTAGCAATTGCTCAGTTTTTATTATACAATAGGATACAGTATTTAGTTGTGTGAACCAAAGTACACAAGGTAAACATATAAAATAGGTGGTTCGTAATAAGCGGTAAAAAATAAGCTGATTGCAATACCTTCGTCTACATACAGTCCCGCGTTCAAACCCTATCCTTGGGAAGCCTTACTCACTGCGAGGGTGCTGTCTAAGCGATGAGAATGAAAAAATAAAGTCAGATGCCTAAACTGAGTTGCTGAATACAAAGAGTTAAACCCAAGAAGTTGGGAACCCTGATTCAAAACCAATGATATTACATCGGCTCCAGACGCTGAAGGAACAATTGCATTTAATAATTCCTAAACATTCGTTCATCAAATCATAATACAAGCCACTAATGTAATTCCCTGTCTCCCAAAAGTTGGTGCAGCGGGTAGATGCCCAGTACATTCTCATATACATGCCCCCAAATGCCCTGGTACGGCCGAGAGTGCGGAGAGTCCGCTCTCGCTCTCGAAATACTCTCACACAGCCACGCGTATACAGCTTCTGCCAGGGAAGTCCTACTCATCGCCTTCTCGTGGCGGAGGTGTTGTTTACGAAAATGAGAGCACGAAAAGCGAATGTCCGGCGCTTTAACCGGATCACAAACCAATGGTGCACATGGGCTCCAGTATCCTGCGGGAACAAATGGCGTATGAACCAATCGTTGGTCACCGGCTACCATGGGACTGCATCTCCGTACGATGCTCCACTGCCTTGTGGGTTAGACCTTTAGGTCAAAGGCTCGGGGTGTGGCCCCCTAATATAACCACCTGCTTCGGTCTGGGCACCCGGGCAGTATCACAGCCCACACACAAATATGATGAACTGCCTATAATTATGGAAACTACTTTACTCGCTTCAACCAACAATCAAATTATTATTATTATTATTATTATTATTATTTACCATATTATTCACCCTCTTTTATACTTATACAGCGGCACGTCTTTGGTGGAAATTCGACTCTATCTAAACGTTCTCGAGTCACTGTCCGGTTGAAAATTGTATGTTCCCACCGAATGAGTACTGAAGCAGTTTTTCTGAAACCACATGCACCATTCAAACTGGCTGCCTTCAACGTTCGCACACTTATGCAGGTTGGACAACAGATAGGGCTGACTATGTCTTTGGAAAGCCTTAATATAAATGTTTGTTGTCTATCCGAGACCCGTATTCAAGACTCTGGTGAAGTACTACAAATTCGCTCTCTATCTGTCGCTTCAAAAAGCTTGTTTTACGTGCGCTTATCCGGGGACTCTGTGGCATCTTTATCTGGTCTTGCTCGCCTTGGTGTCGCACTAAGTGCTAGAGCTGAGGCAGCACTAATCGATTGGATCCCCATTAACAGTCGGTTATGTGCTGTTAGATTAGAATGTTCCATCAAAGTGAGAAGAAATCGGCGTGGTGAGCAGATAGAAGTAGTCGAGAAGTTCGTGTATCTAGGTAGCTGCATAAGTGCTGGTGGGGGTGTGAGTGATGAGATCAATGCACGTATAGTGAAAGCCAGAGCGGCTTATGCCAATCTGGGCCATCTTTGGCACTTTCGTGTTGTCAGTCTGGCTGTAAAAGGTCGGATCTACAACGCGTCGGTGAGAGCAGTTTTGCTCTATGCTTGTGAAACCTGACCTCTCCGAGTTGAGGATGTTGGACGACTCTATGTGTTCGACCATCGTTGTCTCCGAAGGATTGCTGACATCCAGTGGCAACACTATGTTAGTAATGCAGAGGTCCGACATCGTGTGTTCGGGCACAGAGATGACAATGCAATTGGTGTCACCATCTTGAAACACCGACTTCGGTGGCTTGGACATGTTCAACGAATGTCGTCCCAGAGAACTCCACGTCGTGCATTATTTGCCGACTCTGGGACTGGTTGGGAGAAGCAGAGAAGTGGTCAGTGCGTGGAATGGTGTCGTGGCATGAAAGAAAGCTGCAAAGGACTGGCTTGTGTTGGTCCTTCACGACTCCCTGGTTGGGGTCCGAGAGATGGTGCAACACAGTGGCTAGAGACGTTATCAGATATGGCTCAGAATAGAAGCCAGTGGCGATCCTGCTGTAACCTTCTTTTACTTCCTCCGTAAAAGGTGGTTGTATCTTCCTTAACTGAAAGATTTCTTCCGATTGCACCTTTCTGTTCCCCCATTATTACCATTATTATTATTATACTACCTTACACCAATCTCTTCGTTATTGTTCTCTTTTTTTACGCCCCTCACTTTTTTTTCTCTTCGAATTCTCATTGTTTTTTTGTGGCGCATATATATTGGCTCTCTCTTGTACCAATACTTATGTGTTGAAATAAATAAATACTCTCATATACATAGATGTATTGGTTCGTTAAAATCTCTAATATGTAGTTAAGCTTGTCACATTTGAGAAAAACTTTACAATTTGCCTGAAAACTTATATAAACAAGCATAAATAAATGACAGAATACTATAAACAAATGAATAAGTTTCTGGATGAAAATTATTTCAATGCCTCTTCCTTAGAAGTTACGAAAAATGCTGTAAACTGCGTTTTTGATACGCTATACATAATTAGGCATATGAACACGAACAAATGGTAAACTGAAATATCTGTTAAAACCAAAAAAAGCTAAGTGAGAGATGTCATTCGTCAGCTGTTATTTTACAATCTATAAAAACTGTAACCTACTTAGTAGAACTGTATGTAATCAGTAGAAACTATGATGTATCTGACTAGTTAAATCATTTTTTTTAGAAATTATAAGTAGATCCTTTTTAATCGACCAAAATTAGTGTTTTAGTTAATTAATTTAATTAGAGGGTTACAAACCTGTGCAATATTTTCACAGTTTAGCAACAAGAACACTAAATGTACCGATGTAGATGACACAAAGTACCTACATGTTGATTGTAAAGAGAAATATGATGAACAGCCACGTGACTTGATGATACCTCATAATCTGTATTAATCACGAACTACTGTTAATGACAGGAACAGAGTTTAAAGACATTTTGCTGATGCTTATAGTGTGAAAGTTCAAACAGGTTTTCACATTTCGGAATCGATATTAACGAATAGGATTACACTTTTCGTCAACTGACGATAAACAAAACCCACGGAAAATTCGAAAAAATAGGGCAAAGTCGAATGGAAATTTATGTACTAGATTCTGTTAAGCGACGAGGTGAAATTTTATAGTATATAACAAACGGATTGTTATCTTTATAATTGGGTCATAACCCGGGAATGCAAGTAAGTTGGTATTCTTATCGGTATACACTGAGAAAACACGCTTGTATAGCACTAGATCATGATAGAATACACCTTCAAAACCAGAATAACATTCAACGAAATAACAATAACAGTAATAATAATGATAATGGAAACTCACTTAAGATTATCGAAATTATGTAAATGTTTGCGCCACTTCCGAATCATCCCATCCCATGCACGGCGAGAAACTTTACGGAACTTGTTGGGAGTACGAGGATGATACTTCTGGCGCTCAGGTTTTGGGATACTCAACACATATTCAGCGTAGCGTTCTGTCACTTTTCCCATATCAATGTCCTTCTGCCTCCTCAACAATTCCATTTGCCTCCTTTCAAGTTCAATAGGTTGCTGTGTTTCCCCCTATAAACAAAAAATATCAGAAACTTCACCAATGGTAATGGCTTTTTACAAACTAAAAACAAGGAGGGAAGGATAAGAAATGGGGTAACAGGTACATACTTTTGGCCTTGACAAGCAAATACTTCGATCTTAACATTTTCCCCTCGATATCAATGGAGACACTGCCCAGGATTTATTTCAAAACATAAGTACAAGGAGGTACCGAATACATATGCGCCACAATTCGTCATCCGACTTGTGTGAGGGCTGTAATGCTGGCCGGGCGCCGAGACTGAAGCAGATGGTCTTTTTTAGGGGGCCACTCTCCGAGCCTTTGACCTAGATGTCTGGTCCACAAAGCAGTGGAGCTACGTCGAGAGATGCAACCCCATGGCAACCGGTGACCAACAGGTGCATACGCCATTTTTCCTTCAGGGTACTAAAGTCTATGTGAGCGCATTGGTTTGGAATCAGGGTTTTCCAACTCAGGTGGATCCTTCGTATCCACCAACCCGGTTAGGGCGCCGGACATTCGATTTTCGTCCTCTCATTTTCGTAAACAACGGCCCCGCCGCAAGGCAGTGGCTTTATATGTGTGCTCAAGTGAGGGCATTTCGAAAGGGAGGGCGGACTCCCTCCACTCTCGGCCATACCAGGTGATTTGGAACTCGTTACTGAGAAAGTTTATTGAGAAAACAAATCTTCAGAATTCAGTGATCGCCTCCAGCCTAATAAATAAAACAATTGTCATAAATAAAGATAATCCACACGACCGTTTTATGAAGGACATTAGTGAGTGATTCAATGGTTGAAATAATGCTGCATTTGCAAGATATTTTAGTGCCAAAATACTGAGTGGAATAAGAGTATAGACTAACTCAGTTATTAAATGAATACATGATCTGAAGTAGTATGAATCCATTCCAACAGAGAACATATCAAGGAGTTGAATGTTATGCATTAATCAGACGTATATACGTTTAGTTTCAAATTTTTAGTTGAACTCCTTTAAATTCGACTTGGATGCAGCTCTAACCTGGTACAGATGTGCATCAGCCATGCCAAGCTAGCATAGCATGCTGAAATTCACAGAATGATTTGAAAAGATGTCGAAGTTATGTTTATCAGCGGGAGACTTAGCAATGGAAACACAATAAATGAATGTATATTTGTCCACTAACAGCGCTTATCTTACGAAATCCTAGCCCAGTAATCTGAATCTCCCATCAGAGCTTAATTTAGAGGTTAACGAACCGACGGGCAGACAATATTTTCAAGATAATAGCACAGTACAGCGGTACAGGAACTAACGATGAATTTTGAGTCATATACGCAGGGAACCTGAGACGACAGTATAGCTAAGCAGTGTTTCAAATGTAACTACAACACTGCCATTGGTTTCATACCCATGGTAATAGGACCCTCAGTGAGAAAGGTGATGAATGAAGTTTAATATATACGAAGCCAATTAAACAATAGAGGTAAAATAAGAGGTGTTAGTTTTTTTCCATGATCACTGCTACTCATGGGTCAGTGTGTTAATGTAGATAAGGTACCATCTAACAAATTCCATCAAAAAGTCAGAACAAGACAGTATCAGTCCATGGAAACAAAGAATATTGGATTGAACCATAAAGGCAGTTGCAGACTACCTGGTCGAGGCTCGCGTGATTGTCATAATTACCGGTTAAACTTTGATTACCATGGCTCAGAACCATCTGCAATAGTCCAGGGACACCCACTATCTCCCCTTGGATCCTAAGTTTCTGAATTACCTGATAAAATGTATCGCAATAACCCACATTTTCTCTTCGGACACTGCCTCTTATACCAATCCTTCCTGCTACCACGAACACTTTTGTTACCTCCATTTCGGGATTTATTTTGATAAGTTCATCGTTGTGCTAATGAGATTTATTACCTTGGACAGGTTCTAACTTGCGCATGAATAACTCCCACCAACCCAACTGCTACGTGCACACACTTAACACCTGTAATTATAGAGGTTCCCGCAAACCAAGGCGAAGTACATGAAAAAACGGCACATAGAAGCTTAAAATAGCGGAGTTTAACAATATTATGACACAGTATGATCCAACGTTTAAGCGATATTTTGTCAAAGAAAATTTAGTCGACAGTAGGGGGTTGCGTTATTCACCGTTCAATGATGTTTATATGTACTGTTAAGTAAGTTACTGATCATAAAAAAGAAAATAAGGATTCATGTCCAAGTGGTTTTAGAAACGTCTAACACTACTTAGGCGGTTAAAGCTTCATATACATCGAGTAAATTCGTGACTAGAAAGACCGTTAAAATACCCAGGATTTGGATAAAAACTGAATAGTCCTACACATTATCATTTAGTTTTACAAAACTACTAATGAAAGATACCATGGTAAATGAAGGAAACCATTAAAAGCGCAATCACTTTTTCTGTTAATCTTCGTTTCAGTTTTTCTTCATATCGACTCAGATCTTCGTCTGCATCGTCGGACAACAGCATATCGACTTTCCAGTCTCCTTGAGTGCGATAGCGGTCGAGGCGTTCCTGAGCGCGCCTGATTTCAATAAGTGGGTCGTAGTTTGGATGGAATTTTCTGCGACTTCCAATCTGTTGGGAGTCAAATTAAGACTGTACGTACCGAGGACAAAATGCTTCGTGATCTGTTGTGGTCATTGCATTCCTCTTTAGATCGGTGCCGGGTTCTGTATCTAGGAGTTGTCTCACAGTTCCTAACAGGCGTAGACATGCGGAAAGGGGTCGATGGGCTGACTTTCTGAGTAGATGACCTGCTATTTCTTACTGTTTGAGACGAAATTTCCAACTTTTGACCATTTTCCCGGACATTATGACTTAATTTATCGACAGGACTTCGGATACTTATAAGCCAATTAAAACGATAATACCTTTGAGTCACTAACGGACTGATACGCGAACGCCCTTTATTGATAGCCCCTAAAAAAACGGCATTCTTGACTGGAGCGGATTTTCTAGACCTGCGACGATCCTCCACAAGAGAAGACATTAGGTTGAAATTCGAATGGAGCGGCAAGACGATGTTATTTAGGATACCGCTCATGCTCAACATCTATTGACATTAGTGTTGGCTAAAATAAATTTGTGTCATGATTACTTATGTATTAGCATCGATGGGTCGAAAATTTGACCACTGAATTTTCCAAATAATGCTTCTAAGTTTCATGAAAGCAATGGGATTTCAGTAGAGACCTATTTGTCATCGATCTGACGTCTTGCAACTTGACATGTCGTAGAATAGGCATAGAAGTCAGATTTAAGAAGTTTCGGTAGAATGGATCATGATTAGGTATAAAGTAAAAGAAAACTCCTTCTGTTACTATCTAACCCATTCACAAAACGCCCGTAGTATTGTAAGTGAACTCCAGTTAACTGGAAGTCACCAGTCTGATTCGTTAAAATGGCCGATACAACCTTTCTACCTTCAGCCGGCTTAAGGAGTGTGTTTATAGACAACAGGCTCTATGTAACAGATATTTTAGTGGTAAATAAGTCACCAAGATAGGTGATTATGTGAGTGTTCGATAATTATGCTGGCCTTATTTGTTTTACTGGACACACTGTAGTCGAAAGGAATCGCCCGAACATCTGTAGCAGATCATGACCAAGTACAACATGTTACCTACTCCTCAAAACTAGTCAGCTTAGATCATATGCCTCTCAATACATTGATTACCATCCAAACATATCTTCGAACCTCTTCATTCCTGAATTTGCATTTGCTTAGCTTTGGTATTCCCGATTATAAAAGGCGTAACAAACAACAACTTTGTCGAGCACCGAAAATCCGCGGTATCTTTACACTATGTTGTTATAAGCAGTTTGCAAGAAGGTATAAGCTAATAGAACTCATAAAATTTAAATAGGTGTTTCGATAAAGTTTAGTAAACTGATCATTGCTTATACTAGGAACCCAAGGATTGATCCGCTTATTCTGAGCGTGGATATTTTTAAAAGCGATATAAGGTAAATGTTAACTTTAAAGCGACTACTCGACAGCTGGTACTTGACTGAGTACTACAGGACACGATGCAACCTTCGCTGTTTTTAATCCATGATAGTTAATTACTTTCTGAGATATATGGTTTGTCGACATATGTCATTAATCCCGAATTCATTGGACCAAAAAGATACTACTAGTTCAAGGGACTCAAAGAAGCACTATGAGGATATCTCTTTGCAGAAGAGATGAAGCAGTACTCCTCTTCTAAAGCTTCAAATTGAAAGTCATATATCTATTGACCTCCTCCAATCAAATTTTTATTCGCCTTCCGGATATAACTCTTGAAAGTTGTTATTAACATTTTTCCCTCTATAGTGTAATAACACTCTTTCATCCTACATAAATGCGTATTACCGGATTCTATTTCTATTTTGAGCTTTGAGCATCAAAGCATGGGACAAATTAAACACAGTGCTTGTAAAAGTTTTTAAGCTAATCAATATAAGGCTTATCAATGTTTTCTGAGCTGATTCACCAGGATAGCACATATTCAGTCTTCAGTAACAATGCTTTAAGGAAATACTACTATCATAAGTGTACACTAGGAATGACGTAAGATCCGTGACAAACTGGTGTTTAAACATTATGTCTTAGTGTAATTACGGAGCATGACACAAGAATTCAAAGTTAAAGCCTTCCACGTTGTCACCATGCAGCATGAGAAATTATCTGATCACAAAGTCTCTCTAAGTAGTTCTGAGCATTTTCGTTGATACGTTCGGCATGCAACAGGTTCGCAGTTTTTCTATAGAGTGAATGTTTTATCTTTGAGCACTAAACACTTCGTAATTACTGCCCAAGATAAAGGTATTCAAGCCTTAATTTTACCTTTCAAAAGGCAACTAAAGCAACATAACGAAAAGTGTCTAACGTTCAGGTTTTTGCTCTCATCCGTTATTGAAGCACTGTCGATTGATCTACTCCTAAATTACGACCTCAAATAATGATAGAACCAACTGACATTTCAGGTCCCAAATTTATTTGCAAGTTACAAATAATCAACCCAGTTTTCCCATGTAAAAATGTCAAAAATACCAAACGAAAACCAAAGGGAAAATAAAATTTCCGAGGCTAAAGATATAAACAAAAAGTTCAGAAGTTGAGCGAAACCAATACATCCAAAACACAGTGAGATTATCAATATATAATATAACAGCTTTTAATCAGTTAAATAATTTCAGTTCTGGTGTGGGGCAAGGAAGGAAAAGAAATCACAGGTTCTTTCGTCGTCTCCAATTGAAACAAAACTCTGAAATGTTCATAACTTTTAGACTCCCTTAATTCTCATATTTAAGTGCTCAATACGACGAGTTATTAGGAAAAGCAACTTCAAGTTCAAAATTTGAAGGTTGTAACTTTCTTCAATTAGTTTTCACTAGTTTTTCACTCGAAGTAAACAGGATAAGTTGACGGAAAGGATGACATTTAGATACCGTTTCACTAATTTGACGCTTCACCTTAGCATTTACCTTACACCCTCTGCCTTAAGTTTCACGTCGTTCAGTTTATTTTGTTCATTAACTTGCACATGGTCTTTTATGACGAGTATAGCATTTCCAACTACCCTCAAACATTTATCATAAGTTCTAACGGTCGTCATTCATGTTTGACTTTTACACTAGTCAAGGCCAGCTAAATAAGTTTGAAAATATTCACTTCTTCAAGGTAAATAATCATTGTTATATGCTAACTAAGTAGTTGTAGAATTATGTCCTAGTTCGTATTAGTACCGCCATAATAATAGTCCTAATTCTAAACTTGTAGGTTGACCACTGTATGAAAACTCAATCTACAAGGTCTTACATGGAAGTAACATCATTGTCTATTCTGACTCGTCGTACGTAATAATCAGCAACATGATGTTTAGCGTTTCTAAATAACATATTTCGGCTGGAGATAGAATAACATATTGAGTATGAATAAAAGAGACAGGTCACACTAGAATGGCCACGTTTACAATACTGAGCCACGCCATCAATTCTATTGCTGACGTTTTCTCCGAGTTAAATGCTATATATTTATTATCCTATTCATGTCACATTCAGCTTTGAAGATTGTGTGTTTATGACTAATACCACTACATAGTCAAGCACATAATATTGGACTAGGTCTAATATTCCAACATAATAGAAAAGTGCACCACTGCCGACCAAGACCTACATTCTATAATATGGAAATGTCGGTCCCACTTACATACTAATAATTTATTCTCAAATAACAGCCTGTTACATGAGGCCTACCAGTTTACAGGCAATATCAAATTGTTACAGAAGATATAGTCTTCTCTGTGATGGGTGTGGAGATATGACTGACAAGCTTATTTTGTAAATAGTTTTTAATATTATTTGTATTTGTTTGTCAATTTTTCACTGTATATACATTTATCATTAAATGACTGTACGTGTTGTTTTAGTCAATGTCCTTGAAAACACTTTCCGTTGAGCTACTACATAGCGTGACATATTCTTGCTGGTTAACAAATACATTACTACTCACGCATTCCTCGTTCTATTTTCATTTGTGATTGAGTTAACGGAAGTCTAAATCAAATACTATCTACATTTATAGACTGTAATCGGAATATATCACATCCTACGTTGGACTATATCACTAGAGAGTTCGCCAACCTGCTCAGAGTCATCAAGCATTTATAATTGTGGATTTACATTACTGGACCTAATCAGAACACGCAATGTTTGGGCAATTTAAGTAACGTCCTTAATTTTGATTGTATTTGTAACAATTAATTGTATATATTAATATTACTGTTGATTTTTAATAACTTTGTTTATACGTTTCGCGTTCATATCTGTTTGGTCCACCACAATTATTTGGTGAACCTCGATTTTTTTTAATATACATTTAATATATTTATCTAAATATTTTATTATTATTATTAATTGGCACGATACCATTTTTTGTTTTTGGCATTATGAACTCTCCTAATAAACTTATCGATATAGATAGCCCATCAACCAACCCCTTTCATTCATCACAATCAGAAGATAATGCTTTAAACTCAATCAACGCTATTTCTGAACTAAGATTACCAACGTACGTTGTTAATAATCCCAGGATCTGGTTTTCACAGGTTGAGGCATTCTTTTTGTCGAGAGGTATACGCTCGCAAGAGACAAAATATGCATACGTCGTTGGAGCATTACCCATAGAAGTGGCAGTAGAAGTCTGAGACCTGATAGATAACGTACCAGAAACGGACCCCTACGACAAAATAAAAGCCGCAATAATCCACCGTACTTCGCAGTCTGATGAAAAACGCTTACAGCAACTACTCACCGCATGCGATTTAGGGGACAAAAGACCTTCACAGTTGCTTAGACATATGAGACAACCAGCAGGCTCATACAAGTTAGACGAAGCATTACTTAAGCAGATGTGGTCACAAAGGTTACCACATAACGTCAGACAAATCCTCAGCATATCAGGAGCCTCTGTCAGTCTTGATGATTTATCAGACATGGCCGATAAGATGATAGAAATATATCCCGATAGTCTCGGTGTTAACGCGATACAACCCTCAAGTAGAAAAAACATGAGCGACGCACTCAACATCCAACAACAAATAACACAGTTAACACAGCAGCTAGCATCACTGCAGGCGACTATTTCCACCATCCATTCTCGACGCCCCAGATCTACGTCCAGAAGGAGATCAGTATCCAGACATCGTCTTAGGTCACCTAAGCGAGCAGCCGGAATTTGTTGGTATAATTCGAACTATGGTGAGAAAGTACGTCGTTGCACAAAACCGTGCAACTTCACGACAAACAAGCCAGACCATCAGGGAAACGAAGTGGCCAGACAGTAATGGCGGCAGCTGTTACTGGCCAACATGTTAGCCGCCTCTTCCACATCAGGGATCGTATTTCTGGCTCAGACTTTTTAGTCGATGCTGGAGCAGAAATCAGCATCATCCCACTCCATCTCTCACGCAGACAACATACGACAAGCACTAAATTGTCCTTAGTAGCGGCTAACGAATCAATTATCAAAACGTACGGTGAGCAATCACTTATATTAGATC